GCGCAATAGGTAGTAAGAAGGTAGTAAATGCAAAAGTTACTACCTTTTTTTGAACGTTACTACCTTTTTACTGGCTCTTTACTACCCCAAACGCGCGTACAAAATGACGGCATCTGCTGCATCGCCGATAGCCAGCGTTAAAGACGTACTTACTGTTTCGAAACGAAGATGGAAGTATCCACTCAAAATCGTAGCATGTTGAAGGGCAGGGGAATGTTTAAAGGTAGGAGCTGATTTTAAACGATCGCAGCCTCCGTTCCAGCACGTCGTGGAAACAAGGAGGATAGAAGGGCAGGAGAGGGCATGACGTCAGCCGCCTTGCCTCCACAAGCCATGCTCCCTTGACGCCTCGCCTCTTTCTCATTTTCCTCCTTATCCTCCTCACGTATCAGGCCAACGTGACCACATCACCTGACCGTAGCTAGCCTTCGATCTGATAAAACCTACCGGACGGAGCGCGCGCAAACCTGCAAGGAATCCTTCTACAATCAACCATCCATCTCACATGTGACATGTCACGCGCACCAATAGCCAGAGAGATCTACGGTCACGTTGGCCACAACATCGTTTAAACTTTTTATGACTAGGCTTCACCAATATTGCAACGTGCCCCCTCCTAGTACTATAACCTCCTTGCGTGGAAACCAGCGCTGCCGCGAGCGCAGCCATTGTTGATGCAATGGCCATCGCCATGCGACTTCTGATTTTCCTTTCTTCGGAAGCGTTTAATTTTTATTTTGTTTTTAACTGGGATAAACAATAGCCGCGTAGCACGTGCTAAAAACGTTTCCAAAGACAAGAAAGGTTCATTCTGTTTCTTTTTTTCTATTTCTTTTTCTTTAATATAATTTTTTTTTCGCGAGAGACGCTTGGCAACATTGTACGACAAGCACCAGGTGGTGTGATGTCCCACACCGCCTGGTGATAGTTACGAATTTGCAGAGGTTGTGGAGGGAAAGCAAATTGACGAGGAAAAATATCATACTTTTGGTTCTTAATTTCTAGTCTAGGTGGCGCAGCTACTGCCCTTTATAAAGAATACAGCCGTTAGCATCCATCCAGCAATTCATAGTACTAGCCGCAGTTTGCAAGACGCTCATTTCTGCGATTCGAACCTGCCGTTTTTGCCGTGTGTTGTTCTTGTGTTCCCGTGTTGGTGTGCATAGTTAACGTTCGTGCGCTCACCTGGGCGAGTGTATGCGTGGACGCGGTCTGCTCCGAGGATAGGTCTAACGAGCTGGTGACGAGCGTCCGCTCGTCACCAGTTCCGACACGCAACGGCGATTGTTCGGCCGGTTGAGTGGCATGCATGGTTTCGCCGTCCAAGAAGATTCGCTACTTCGCTCCTACTTAACACTGAGAACGTCTTCTCTACGGTTTATGTGTGCTCACTAGTTGGATGGTCTTCGGTAGTGACAATGGCCGTAAAAGCGTAAGGTACCGACCAGCATGCGCAAAGTGGGGCAGTCTACGCGGGGAAGCGAGAACATGGCTGCTGGGAGCTTATGGGGCGGATGGTTTCTGGGCTGTCGAAAATAATTACTCTGTGTATCGTTACTTCTTAGTAAGAGATACATTCCTTGGAATGTTTCGTCCGCAAGTATGGCAAAACAACACATCTGCTAAAATCTGGCAACTGTAATATCATGGATTGGACATCGTTATGTTCGTGGAGGAGATCCTATGTAAAAAAACATAGCTTCCTTGTAAGGATTCTTTCATTTATTGTACTTCCTGTGTTGGGGAACTGACACCTACAGCAAAGGCCATGACGACAGCCAACAGAGTGTGTGAGCGCCGTCATTTAAAAATTGTATTGCTAGTATGTTTATACAGCCTTGATGTTGGTACCAGTCAGGCACGCATCCAGGCGAAGGGGGGGAGGTGGCATGGGCTTCCCCCCACCCCCACCCCCCTCCCCCCCGAAATCGTTCATTTTGCTGAGGCCCCCTCTCCCCCCTTTTCCTCAGAAAGCATTTCGTCAAGGCCCCCCCCTCCCCCCCCCCCCCCCCCCCCCGAAACAAAAACCCTGGCTAAGTGCCTGGTACCAGAGTTGTACGCAACGGCGGTCCTGTAACGCGTTCCTTTCAGGAGGAACGAAGGAACGCTGCCGTTTGCATCGGTGGAAGTGGAACGGGAACTTGTTACATTTTTACTGGAATGGAAAAATAAACGGCGTTCCTTTTTTTCGTCCAGTGAGGTGATTATTTTATTTCTAAGATTGAAACTCTAAAAGTAAAAAGCAAACAATAACAATTACGAAGAGCAGGATCTCGTTAACTTTTTGGTTACTTATCTTAGGGTTTATTTTTTATGGTTTTCGCTTGGTAACAGTCGGGTGCAGGAGACCTAGTGGACATCGATTATCTTTTCAGTGCCCGAGACTGCTGTACAAAAAGCACAACTTTTTAGTCTAAGGAAAAGATACAGAAAGAAGAACGTTTAAAACTCAGCTACTTTTTTTGCTTCCACAATTCCTCATACATCAAGAAATCTAAGGCCGACTACAGCCGTCACTGAACTTCCACGAAGAGACTATGCAGTTGCAACAGAAGAACAGCTTACCAGACATCAAGCACACACTTGTATCCCGAACATTAGTCACTTAAAATATACACAAAAATTAACCTTAAATCCTTCTCCCCTTGTCCCCCACTTTCACACTGAACAACGAATCCAACGTTCATGAAGAAGGATTTGTAGTTTTCAAGACTGACTTTCCAAAAGCCTACCTTCTTTTTCACTTGCTTGTCTTGCGAACAGCAACATTGAGAAGCAACCGTTAAGTTCGAACAAGGGACTTCGTTAGATTGAGACGTGTGAGATTGTTATAAAACGCTCGTGCAATGGGGGGTAGCAATACATTGGGCTCGGCTGACTCGCCCACCACAAACATGACTATGGTTAAACGCTGAGATTTTTATAGGTGAATATATCAACCGATGAAATCCTGCTTCCGCTTGTTTTCTTCTCCTGGTGCTGTTCCATCGCTGCATTGAAATTCCAATGTTCTCATTTGATGGGATATGTGTATATAAAAAAAGTAGAAAACTTTCCTCGCTGTAGATAAAGGTGGTCATCCGCAAAATGCAAATGTAACATACACGTAACGACATGTTTCATTTTTTTTAACTGTAACAGGAACGAGTTCCTTTTTCACATATGAAACTTGTAACGGGAACGTGTTCCAAAAATCAGAAGGAATGAGGAGCGATCTTTCGTTCCTTTTAATGAGGAACGTTCACCACACTGGTTGGTACGCCTCGACGGGTAACTTGTCTCTTAGCTGTAGCCTTGGCGTTGATGAGAAATTTAGCCAGTGCAGTACAACCGCTAACCTGGGGTTTTAACGTGCACCACGCAGTAGTGATTACACAAACGCGTGCCGGTACGAAACTCATTCAGATTGAAACGGGCCGGGGGTGGGGATCGAACTCAGGAGGTTCTGCAGCGCAAGCTTTCGCTCCACGCTTCGATCTGAGACGCGTTAATTCGCTCGGCCACCGATTCAGGCGATTTGGGCACTAAAAACGCTGCCTGCCGGACTTTCGACTAGCGGAGTAAAATGTTTAAATTCTCAAATCGCTTTCAGCTTCTCGGAAATCTCCAGCCATTCTGAGTCCGGATATATTTTCTGGTACTCAGATATAATCCACTTTACACTCTCGATGAAGTAGAGGCGTGCCGGGCGGGCATCCGGATCAGCTGATCCTCGAGCAACTGTTGGGACGCCACCAGGATCGCAACTGGCGACAGCATGACACTTCTATGACGCCATCAGGCGGAAATCGAGGGACCACTTCTTTGGCCGCGGTAAACACACCAGTCGGAGACGCGTTCCAGGCACCATAGCAGAACGGTGACCCGTGAGAATAGTTGACAAACCCGAAGAGAGATGGCGCAAGTTGTACTCCCTCTGAAGGTCAGCCACACTTGCCGGGAAAGTGTTTCTCGAGATTCGAGCTTATCGCTTATTGTGGTGACGTCGCAAATGGGACAAACGAAATAACAGTGAGTGTGTAGGCGAACTGGTGATAATGAATCATAATTGAGACAATCTCCTACTGTACATTTTTTTCGACTTGATTTTTTTCCCCCTTAGAGCATAGTTTTAGGTTACATTATGATTCATTTAGGACGCCGTTTTCTGACGACGTTCGATGTTTTTGGCAGAATTCAAACTGCGTCGGAGGGATCTGATCTGGATCGCAGCTAAGATATAGATTCGATTTTGTTTTAAACTGTCCTGTGTCTCTAATATAGCACTAGATAATATGTCGATCTAGTGTTTTTAGAGTGGCCTTGGAATTGTTTTTTGCCCACTCCTTAAAAGATTCACGCGATAAAACATCATGTGTGGTTTAGTCATTCGCACGACCTTCACGGCGTATCAAGAAAAGGATAGAAGCCAAAATCAAATCTCTACAACCAGCGAGTCCTGCACATACTAGCTTTTATTTATTGATTTTCTACGCTGTACGAGATCTGCTGAAGAACAACCAGGCTTCTACCTGTCCGCGCATACATTCCAAATCTGACAAAAACGCTCGCTCATTCTCAGTCTCACCTGCCCTCTTCCGTTTCGAAGGTTCCAAATTCCTCCCCAAGGCCATTTTTCGAACAGTTCCGAGCGCATTGTTCATCTTTCCGATCCCCCCCCCCCCCCTCTCCCCTTTTTCAAAAAGTAAGATCTCCGCAAGCTACTCCCCACCTTCCTCTTCACAACTTCCTGGAACCCCATCTCCCCCTCGACGATCAGAAAAAAATTCAACGCACACACAAAAAGCGAACGCAAAAACGCTTCCAGCGAGCGACGGAGCGAGCGAGCCAGTTCGAACGAGTAGCGGACGGCCCGCGCAAATTCGACCACAACATGGCGGCCTGCACGAGACAAGCAGACGGACTACCGATCTGCCAATTAATTATCATAGCTCTCCCGATGGCGGGGCTCCGATTGGCGCGCTTTCTGTCCAATCCGGGCTTTCCCTGGGCGGAGCGTCACTGCGCGTTTCCCCCCTCTCGCGAGAGTGGTGCACGTCGGGTAACGGAGCGCCTCTCGCGCGGACGCGCTTCCCCGAGTTGATCGTAGTCTGCGCTCGCCGAACTTGTCGGGTGCTCCGTCGACTGCTTCTTCTCCGGCCGATCGCCGGACGGCCCATGTGACTTCGCCCGTGTCCAGTTTGGCACGCACGTGTTCGTCGTTCGTTGTTGTTGTGGTGGCGGTGTTCGGATCTGACGACGGGTGCTGACCTCGGTGTGGTTCTGGCCTTGGAGCACGCCGCGTGGTGCTCGAGTGACGAAGCGGCGAAACGCTGCGGTGGTGCTTGCCAGTGCAATTCCGGGTGGTTTAGTTTCTTCCCCGTGGGCCGACAAGCTGCCAAAATTCGTGTCAAAAACCGCATCCCGCTTCCAGCCTTCCGGATGGAACACGAGTCGGACGACATGGATGGTAGCATGGTGAGTTTATTTTCTTATGCCGACGATCACGGCTTCCAATGTGCGTAATCTTGGATCTTTGAGTCCATCGGTATCGGGTACCACACGACGGATTCCAAACATCATCCCCTAATCGCGTAAAAAAAAAAAAAAAAAAAAAAGTGATTATTAACATTTACGTGTATCACCTTGCCTTTTTTTTTTTTTTCCCCAAGCGGCAATTTTAGTTGTTTTGTTTGATTCGCGCGCTTGTCTTTGATTTCGTCAGCGCACGTGTTGACGAAATCTCGTTCTTGTGGACTCGGTGTCGCCTCGTAACTTGGTCTTGACCACCAAGCTTGCACTGTGTTTCGGCGGTGCACGGTGCAATCGGTACGATCAGGCGACTCGCGGAGTTGCGTTGGACAGGAGGACACTTGCCCGGTCCGGAGCCCGTTGACCATCACAACGGATTCTGGCGTCCATCGGAGGAGTGCCGCCGAGCGGCGCAGCGGCGACGATGCCCGGCGAACGATCCCATGTCCGATAAGCGGCCTGTCAGTGATCACTTCCCCTCGGCGCGGAGGCGCGCCACTGCGCTTCTCTTGTTGTGATTTCTCGCTTCTGTAGAAAGGCAGGGGTGGGCTCCTCGCTTGCCTTCGCGCGGATCGCTCGCACTCACTGAATCGGCGGCGGCATTTCGAGGAATCTCGTCCTCCGATTATTATATACGTCGCCACCCTCTCTAGTTTTTTTTTAGATTGTTGAGGTTTGGTGTTTTGGGTGTGTTCTTGATTCTTGGTAGCGGTCGGTACGTTTGTGTGTGTTTTTCATATCGTGTGTTTGCGGCTGGGGGGGTTGGTCAGCCGTGTTCTCGAAGGTGGTGATTCATTGCACTGGCAGGTCCGGCCGCCTTCGTTATCAAGGTCACGCTGGCTATCGCCTCTCTCCCTTTTCTCATTTCTTTCTCGCTTTCTCTCTTGTCTTTTTCTTTTTATAATGGGAGGTCGGGCAATGTAATAGCGGCTTGCCCAACGACTCTTTTTTTTTTTTTTGCTTTTAGGCGGTTCCAGATCGTTTCCATTGACATTGAATTGTGCCCGCTCCTTGCGTCGGACAGTTTTCTTGCTTTCATTTCCTGCCCAGGCTGTTCCATCAGTGTTTTTTTTTTTTTTTATTGAGCTTGTTTTTATAGTTTATGTCACCCGTTGTTATGCCGAAAGCGCGCGTTGATACTTTGGGAATTTACGTTGCATCGAAAGGCCGGTTCAAACGAGCTTTGATACAAAGTCGCCGGGAGGTGCGCGCAATTCCTCCGTGTCGTTTTGTGATTCTTTCTGCGATTTTAGAAGAATAAATTGTATACTTTATAGATTGTGAGGACTGCGCAAGTAGCGATAAGTGAGAGCTTTCCTATTTACCTAGGACTACCCGACTTTCGCGAATTTAAGTGGCGTTACAAAATATCGCGAAAAATTGGTCTCTCGAATGGTTCCATCCACCGTAACGATTACGTAGCATGTGACTTCAAATCGCAAAATCGTGTCCCAGCGAAATACTTGTTCCAGAAACCTACACTTCTTAAGATTCGCAAAATGCAGAGGCCGCGAAAATGAAGTCCTTTGCGGTATTTCATTTGATCCAACCGGAAAGTTCAAAATTCCCTACCACCTTTTTTTTTTTTTTTTTTTTCGCGTATTTAGCAGGCACAGTGCGCTGGTTGACCATACAGTTTTGAAGTCCGAGTTCTCTCTGTTTTGTGTTTTTATTTTATTATTTCTTGTATTGTTAGTGGTACACTTGGCAGCCTAATTCGGCACTGACACGCCAGCTGCGTACGAATGGGACACGAGCCACGCGATCATCCTCCAGCGATGCATTGCCTTGGGCTAGTTGGTGCGTGTTGAAAAAGAAAAAAAGACACGAGCGCTAGAATAGTGAAAAGACATCAGTAACAGTGTACATACACAAAACACCCCGTGTTTACTATACCATTTGCTAAATCCCCCAAGCGCAGCGGCCCGCGACCGAGGCATCATGGGAACGGTGTTCCTTCAGCTCCCTAGTGATCGGTAATTTCGACCAATTCCATGGTTACACAGTTTTTAATGCAATTCCGGAGTCACCCTGAACAACACTCGTACAAGCCCAAGGACCCGTTATATCACTTCTAAACTTTCTCGTCCTGTCAGAGGTTTTGATACTGTACATGCGGTCTACCTTTCAACCTGGGTGAGGTGTCAGATATCTCTTACAACATCATAATTCTCGTGATTGTTGTTTTAGCAGGAATTGCTTAAAAAAAGAAGTCACAACTGCCAAAACCGTATTTCGCTCGGAGGGGCTGTTTATAGCATTTTTAGCGTTTTTAACCCTATATCACCGTCTTTGAAGCTGTACGAAAATGATAATTATGTTAAATATTTCTGCCGCTCAGCCAGGTTTCACCGTGTTGTGACACCGCCACGATCGCGCCCGGCTACAACGTGACACTTGATGACGTCGTCTGCTTGCACAGTATTGAAAACGCAGACATTGACGAGAACCTTGAAGTGATATGACAGGTCCTTGGGCTCTACGAGGCTTGTTCATGGCGACTCCTAGTTACCCTCAAAACTGGGTAACCAAGGAATTGGTCGAAATTATCGATCTCTAGGGAGCTGTAGGAACACCGTTCCCATGATTCCTTGAATGCGGGCCGGGGCGCTTGGGGGATTTAGCAAAATGTCTAACGCCACGTCGCGTATTCCCCGCGTGCCAAAAGCGCCGTCCCACCTTCGCACTTCAATCATCATTGTACCATGTCTTACCCTAATCCGTTGACGGGTGTACAAAGGCTCTTTTAAGTGAAAGGAACAGCAAAATACATAGCTTGCATGTGACGTCATTCGCGGCCATGACAGTTTTTTATGCGCCGCGAGCGTTCGGTTCACTGTGTTAGTTGTAAACCACAGAGGTTGTAGTTCGAAGGAACCAGTGAGTAGAAATAACCTTTTTAGCAAACAATGGCGACACTTGCAAGCTATGTATAAGTTTAACTTGAACCGCCGAAAAACTTTGAAATGACCTACAAGTGGCCAATCGCGTAAATCTGCATCACCTGCAGTGCACTCCGCGCGCTGTCATGGAGGAAGCTCACACGCAGATTTAGATTTTATCTACCTAGATGCATGCAAATACTTTTTTTTTTAAGCCGTTGTGAGAAGATTGGAACTGGTGTTTGGTGCGGTGTTAAGTATGGCGTCATGAGCAGTATGTTAATATTTTTGACAGAACTGACTTCGTCGGATCTGTGAATCCGCGCCTGCTTCAGAGTCGACGAAAGCTTTGGTTCAGTGCTTCTTGCTAAAAGTCGTCACTTCAAATGTTTTGCCATGTGACTGATATGTTCTGCTTGTTTTCATTTCTAACGTCGCAATATGTGAGAATGTTTAACGCACGCCTGAAGAACGGGAAGTTTTATCCTGTTATTTCTTACTTGAGGGTCGGGGACGGCATGATTACGTCACACGAGGTCGCGTGCACACTTACTGTCTTTTAGTTTAAAGCACAATGCTCCGCCATCACATTGAGGACCCGGCCACCCGTCACGGGTTTCTAAAAACTGGTGCTTTTGAAAACGGGGCAGAAATGACGGGGCGTTTGACGCGGTGTTTTTGACATCGGGTGCTTTCGTGTGCCACCCTGCTGGGACACCGCCCTGACCGGTGACAACGTGACACACGATGACGTCGTCAGGCGGAAATTGAGGGACTAATATTAGTACGCAGTAAACACAACTGTCCGAAACGCGTTTCAGGCACCGTACCTGCGCGTTTGCGGGTCGATAACCACGACGGTCTCAGCTGATCCGCGTATCGCCGACATTGTTCTCCTACCCGAGTAATACGTTTACGTTGGTCTTCGTTATCAACCGGTTAGAAAAAAAATTGACGACGTGTGCTTGCAGTCCATTTGATGTGAATGTAACCACCTCGATAACCCTGTCGATCGGTTTCACGTGCACTTCGCGTGCTCGTGTTTTTCTTGCATTAGGTTTAAGAGGGACGGACAGGGAGGTCGGGGGTCTAGTATGTTGGTCAGTTTATTGCCATTTTAGATTCTCAAGAGGAGGTCAGCGATGGCGGATGTAATCTGGCACGTGTGCGAAGCGTCTCTATGTAACGTGCGTGATATATATACACCGAAATAATGCCGAGTTCCATCGAGAGCCACTACATAGTGCTGCCCTAAGAGTGTCCGTTCTCTGATCACCTCGAGGGCTCCACCATTTCGCTGTTAAGTGGGGACGATCGCCCAATGGACGATCGTTGAGACTCGAAAATGCAATCTTCTGAGCTTTGTGCATGTGTACGGTTTTCGGGAAGCCCGAGCGATATCGTTTTACTCCGACCGACTCGCCTTTCCTCCACCTGTTTTCACCGTCGTTGTCACTGGTCGGCGGTCGCCCAATTCCACCTAGAAGGCTAGGCCTTCATCGTTCCCCTTCAAACGTCATCACGAGCCTATCCACGCAGCGCTGCCTATCTTGCGTCAGCATTGTTAACGGCGTGTCTTGCAGCGTCTCCCAGACGAGCGCGACGCTAGCACGCGGCAGCTCTCGTGGAGCATCAGTGCATTTGCCGCTAGGGGCGGGTCGGGGTTCCACGAAGAATGACGTCACGGGCAGGCCTTGTCTTATAGGTAGGGTTCGGAGTTTTCGGTTTAAACCGATAAAAACCGATAAAGGTACGCCGAATGCATTTTTGCAAATTCGGTTTTAACCCAAAAAAGTCACTTTTAAGTTCGGCATTTTCGGTTTAAACCGATAAAAGTAGGTCGAATCCATTTCCTAAAATTCAGTTTTAACCGGCAAAGGTCACTTCGACCATCCAGTCGTACCGCAAAGCCGTGGCGAAAAAGTGGAACAACAGTGTCTATCTAAACGTGTCCGAATGTATGAGATACACGGATGCCATGACGACGTTTTGGTTTAATGCGATCATCGATCGGAACGTGAAGTCCGAAATGCCCCATGACTTCGCCATGTACGAGCGTGTTTT